CCCGAAAACAATGGAAGAAACTCGTGAACGTGGGTGTACCCTGTGTCAGCGTATTTCGATCTAGTGCTACGTGCAATAAGGAATATTATTATTCCATCGAGTGTGACAGGGTTGAACAAATGTCTGCTATTTGGGAAACATGTATGATTCCTGTAGCGATCCAACAGTCTATTGGCTCCAGCATAAAGCTTGGAACTTTCCCATTTTAACTTTGAAGCATTCTTTCCCATTAAAATAAATATCATTTTCTCTAAAAATTTCGTAGCTTTTATATATCCATCTATGGAACCTCGATGCCGCTTGTTTTCAGACCCCTGACGCTCGAAATATTGATCTTCTCCCCAAACTTTCTCCAAACACAACCCCCTGAATTTTACTTTACTCGCAAAAGGAACTTCAACAATATCAATAGCACGAAAGTTCTGCGGCGTTTCCAGTGTTTCCCTCGTGTTTACCTCTCATCGATTTCTCCTTGTTCTCAAAAGTCGGTTGGTATCCAAACGAGGAAGAGTGTTTAATCGACGCGACCGATCTAGTCGCCGAAAGAGAATCGAGAATTCGAATTAGACCGAACCGTCTACGAAAAGAAAGCTCTTTACCTCAGCGAGAATCTCGAAATCGTGGGAAAACCGTGGCTCGGGTTATAATTTTGTGTTATCTCGTCTTCCTATCGCCTGCAACAGTTGCCAGAACATCCTCCAAACTGTTTACGACAGCTACAAGGCTTCTCAAACTTTGGCCCACTCAGAGAAAGCACCGTAACTTATCGCTGGTAGACCCACGACCTGCGTTGACTAACTGTGCAAGAATCGTGTACCGAGACGGGTGTCGTAGCTACCGTTGACTCGAGGTCTGAAAAGTAAGTTCATCGAGCTTGAAAACGAGCGGAATAAGGAGATCGTTTGAATCGACTGTGAGAGGAATTAAAAATCAAGTCGAGTGAAAATCGTGATCAAAACAAACTGAGTTCCAATCTTAAAGCGGTGACGCGATAAGAGACTTGGAAGAAACGAGGGAGCAAAGCACTCGACCATCTAGCCACTAGACTCGCATTGCCTTGTTCAAGATCAGAAGAAGAGCTATGCGCCCTGAAAGTACCGACTATAGATACTCCCCCACTCTAAAGATACCGATCTTTTTACTTTGACTCTCCCGCTACCACCCTTGCAGTGTATCCAATGCTCGTAGCGCAATCCCCGCGACCAGAACAAGTTCGTACGAACTTTCCCCTTGTTTTTGCACCTCCCCAAGGTTGCAACAGGTAAGACACCATCAAAATCGACGGGAACTCGATCTGGGAGTCGCGCGAACAACGATAGGCGTCGCTGATCTCGCGAACTTTCCGCCTGGAAACACAGAAGGGAACGAGTTTCCCAACTTTTCTTTCATCCGACTTTTCCCGATAACCGACGCTCGGGAATTCGTGCTCGGGCTACTTTCATCTCCGTCCGTTTTTCTTACCGTCGAGGGGATGTCGCGACACGCTGGAATCTCTTGGCAAACACGTCGACCTCGCGAAACCGTCGATGGGAGAAACGGACGGCGACGTAGTTCCTCGCGTCGACTCGGACCATCTGCCCGCGGCGAAACTTTTCCTCGTTTGGATCGTTCCTGGTACTTGCCCGCGCTCGAACGTTGGGGCGTCGGAGGGTGGAACTCTTCTGGATAGGGTAAAGTTGGCAGGTGTGGGTGAGAGGAACGGTTCGGGCGAGGTGTAATGGAAATCAGAGTGCGTGATGGAACTCATTGATATGCACAGGAATATTTCTTTAATTTGATACTTTAAATATCGACCCATTTAGGAAGAATTTGAAGAAGAGTTTACTTATGTAGGAGTGTGATATATAATATGAGGGTAAGTGTGTGAGTGTATCCGTGTATGCAACGGTTGCGTGGGAACGCGGTGTGATTGGTTATTATAATAATTCGGAGTTCAGTTCGGTCGAGACAGTTGTAAAAGTCAGACAATGAATAATTCGTTGTCAAACTGTAATACGTTTTAAAGTCATTAGATTCCTACATTAAAAAAGAATTTTCCACGTTAACCCATCGCTGTCACTCGGGATCAAAATGGCCCCACGCGCAACTTTAAGCTAGAATTACTATAAGTTATTAATTTTAGGAAAATATATTAAAAATTATGATTGTTGTTTCAGAGTTATGATTTGTTTTTACGCATTGCCTCCTTGCTGATTTTTTTTTTTGCCATTTTGAAAATTTGATAAACATTTTTTGCCATGATATTCTAATTTTGAAAGGTTCAAACTAATATCCTGAATTTTTATGAGTCGTTCCGGAACGATACTGGCAACGCGGCAATCGTTTAAATATGGCTTTAAATATGGGGTCATTGGGACCCCCTGTGACCGGTCGCGTTATTTCCAGGACGTGTGACCTCCGAGGGGTTAATATATATGTTAATGTAACTTAATATTAACTTGTGGATACAATTAAAAGATATATCAACACTTGACGAGCCTTTTATGTATCTCATTCGCAGGAATGCACGGTAGAAGTCAATATTAGCCTAGATTAATATATACTAATTGCAGAAAATTCTGTTTTTAGTTGTACACTGTCCCTAAATAGACCAACAGTAAAGCCCCTAACGACGAGTAGACAAGCAACGTCACAATTAATAAAATCCAGGAACATCGAAATTAAAAAGCCTATAAATAAACGCTCACGCATATTAGACGTTAATATTTGTATTTTCGTCTTAAAGCAACCCACGGAATGTTTCGTGACTTTCCAATCCACCAGGGCCGAGATATATAAAGCAAACCGTAGTCCACGCGAATCCATACCCGGAGAGCGTTGTAATTTTTTTGTTGCTTATGGGAGAACGCGGAGAGCCCCTCGAAAAATGAATATCCTCGGGAGGGTGAAATTTCTGCCAATAGGAACGCTACCTCTCAATATTCGACCGTCGAAAAAGTTAAAAAATAGGGGAAACAGCTTCGCGAGTACAAGACGAAATTTACAAAAGAACTTTTTTGCTTCGTATCCTGCGAATGGACAGCTCTCCGGTCGAGCTGTCGATCGATCGATTCCCCATTGGTGTTCTATGGCTGGGAAAATATTTTCCAGGATCGGTTGGAAGGAACCAGCGAGCCCCAGGAACGGATGAACGTTAAAAACGGGAAGTCGAGCGTAATAATTCTCGCCAGGGCTCTTGCACGCGGGACGCGGGTCGGAGGAGGATGGAACGAGGCATAAAGTATGTCTCCGGGGGAGAACACCTAACCATGATGGCGTATAGAAAAACGGAAGAACGTTACCGACTAGGTTCGGAGACGCACAGTCGAGTACTTTGTTCGATTGTTTCACACCGTGACGCTTCTACACCGGTTCCTTAAATCTCCCACGGTAAATCTCGACGTCGTCGCGCTTCCTCCGACCGGGAACTTTCGCAGACCTTCGATCCTCGAGGTTCCCTGAACGTTACCAAGAACATGAAGGGTGACGAGGAGTGACGTTGGAGGGAAACCCTCGCGAAGGAAACGGGAAGAGGGACGATGCTTTGACTGGCGTGGTGACTTTAATTATAGTTAATAGAAAGCGTGGAATGGTAAAGCTTTTTGAGTATATTAACCCTTTGCACCCAAGGCCACTTTTTAGTATCTACTCGGGGTGCTTTCTTAGCATTCTAGTGCCACAAATGCTAAGCCATCGAGATTTGACAATCATGTCACCTTTACCTCACCGACAATCGTTTTATTGTACTCATTATATTATACTTTGAATTCCAAAGAAATTAAACCTAAGTAAACATTATCGCTGATAGATTTGCTGCGTGAAACCTAATGGTGATTGAGAGTCATCTCCCGAGTGCAAAGGGTTAAAAAGAACACCGATTCTAAGCATTTTTCCTATAAGGATATTCTAAAAGAGGCTCCAAGGCTTCATTGTTTCATAATACCAAAATATGACTATCGTCTTCGTTATCGTGGACGCTTCGTCTCCCTTTTCCATCGTCGTCTTTCATTCGAAACCAAAGATTGGATAAGCTCCATGCAATTTTCTATCGGAAATCCTAGAGCGACTCTTATCCTTAATCCTAGAGAAAAATCCTTCGGCACTCGGTGGAACGTCGAAAGTGATCACTTTTCGACGTCCTCTCTGCCTCGAGGGGTTTCGCGAGGTCTGAATTCGTACTAAATCGCGAAAAAATCGTTCGCCGACGTGCAGAGGCGCGGAGGCCGGATCGCGACGCAATTAATCCACGCGCGGCTTAACGAACTCGGTTCTACAATTACGTTTTTCGTCTCGCGGCGCGTGGCTGGAAAATTCAGTTTCCTCGGGCGTAAAAAGGGGCGGACGGGGACGGGGGACTAAACGCGGGCACGGAACGGGAACGAAAGAGAGGTGAAAGGCGGGCACAAAAAGGGTCCGCGGCTTTTAGCGATTTTATGACGTTTTCAATGGCGGCGTTGTTTTTGCCGCGATCGAGAACGCCCGCGACGCGACAGATCTTCCATTGAGCTCGCATCGCACGCTCCGCGAGTCCGACGCGAGAGCCTGCACCTCTTTTTTCACCATTTTTTATATGCTAGACTCTTCATTGGCTATTAGAGCGATTAATAGGGATTCTTCTCGACGTCAACGACGCGATCCAGCAGCGAGTATAATCGCGTCGGGGACAATGGGTCCGATTGAACGTGGAATAAAAATGAGCAGGGACGATTGCGGAGTAAAAGTAGGTCACGCGTGTGTAGAGCATGATTTTCCAGGAAATCGAGGGAGAGAAGGTGAGCACAGGAAGGATGGAAAACGTGGAAGTGCAAGAAAATTGTCGAAGATGACCTTTCGTCGATTGTCGACGTATTAAATTTGAAGCATTTACTGGAGATAGTTTAAGGGTCTTCTTGGTCTAAAAGAGCTCAATAACCAAAGAAGAGCTAGCTTCGAATTTTAGTTTGACCATTAGATGAAAAATGATTTTTCTCGCTCGTCGTTTCAGAGGCCAATTTTGATTTTAGTTCGTTCCGGGCGGTGCATCGACAAAGTTCGACGAACCACGATCGACCTGACGTTGCGTGGGCGCAATCGAAATCGGATCGAGCCGGCCGAACGTGCATCCGCGAGGAATCGACGGTGCGTGGAGCCAGAACGAACCTCGCGGTCCTCTCGACTGGCTCCGCCAACGCGAATTTAATCCGGAACAATGGGAGAGTGCCTTCACGAATCGTTCCCCGTTCGCAGAACGGAGGATCGATGTCCTCAATTCCTTCGCGCCATTATTCGTGTCCGACCTGCGCGTGTAATTTTAATTGCGACCAATCGCGGCGCTCTCTTAATTAGGAATCGCTGGCACACGGCATCTGAGCCCACGGAACCTGAGCAAACCCGATGTTTTCACTCGAATTTCTATTCTGTTTTACCAACGTTACTTTGCGTTGAAAAACACGAAGAGTTTGGTTTAAAAATGGGCTGCTATTTGGGTTAGTTTTGTAGGAATAACGAATTCAAAATTTCACATGCCACGTGGCAGGAGCGATGTGATATTAATTTGTATGGTAGAGTAGCTAAAATTTGAAATACGTTTGCATATATTCAACGTGGAGTGGTGTTCGAATAGTATCACGATTTCCAAATATGCCCTGCAAATATGGCACCTACACTTCGTTGTAATAAGCTACGTTTTCTTTTAAACAAATAAAACCTTCAACGTATGGTGACTAACAAAAATTGTTACCTATAAAGCGAGGCAATACACCTACCCTTGTATATTACACCACTCGCAACTCTTTCCTTACGAGACGTTTCCTTACGAGACGTTTATTCTGTTCTAGCGGCCCACGCGTGGAAACCCTAGTTGCATCGCGTCTAGTAGAATCATGGCACGATAAATTCTTGCGTTCGTGGTCTCTGTTATACCTGCGAGTCTCGGTGCGATCGTTCGGAAGTAGCGGGGAATCTTCCGTGTAAAAGACTGCAGGGACCTGGAACTTTTCACTTTACGTGCAACTGCGCTTTGACTACGCAAAGAGTGGCAAAGAGTTTCGATCCGCGTCCCGAACACACTGTTCCAGCGACGACCGCAAAAGAACGGAAAGGGGTGAATCGATGGCGCGCAATACCGTGTTTGGGCGTCACAGAAAACCAGAAAATCCCCGTTCCGAATGGAAATTAAAACGTTTCAACGCGAACAAATGAGAATTCTTCTCTTCTTCTATCCCAGAAATATATGTTTAATTCCGGATCGATACAATTAACAGGAAATGTATTTCTAGATTATCCCGGAGCCAATTATACGCTTTAGAGAGGGAACGAGTTTATCTGTGTATTTTTGTTAAATATTTCAATCTCTTCAGCGATCAAATGCTACAGCGACGAGCATTTTTGTTAATTTTAAAATAATCCAGAGATACAGCCAGCGTACTTGTTTATAATGAAACGTTTATTTGGAAATATCAAAATCATCGTTTAAGCTTCATTCGATAGACACAGAGGATATGAATGTTTCTGAAACTGACTGGACTTTCAATCCCATATCTACCATTCCACGAGGACTAGAAACACATTTCCAAAACTATTCACCATACGCCTGCCATATATAACAAGAATTTACCCCATTTCATCGAAAAAACCACCAAAGGTATTCGAAGCAAGCTCTCCCGGATAGAAAGGTTCGCCAGAGGCCATCGTTAGAATCATCGAACGGAATTATGAACCACAGCCGATGGTATATGCGCGCGTACTCCTCTCAAACGCGCCCGAAAGTAACCGCAGCGGAGGAAAGCGAACCTGGAAACGCAGAGACACAAACGTGAATCTCCAACGGAAAGCGCCGACCGCAAAATGAGAAGTAGAAGCCCGAGAGAACGGCCAAAACGTGGTGGACTCCGACTGGGGAAATAGTTACCGCTTCGAATACGCGCATAACTGCAGCAAGTATTTAATGCCGGGGTCGTGAATCGTGCGAGACACCAGAAGGGAGACACGTGAATTAATGGGAAATAGAAACAGAAGCGGAGAATGGGAGAAATATAAACCTCGACGAATCGTTTCCCTAACATTGTATTTTAAATGACTAGTGGCTCCCTCAAAGTATGGGTTTAAGGAAACGACTCATTCGATCGCCCAGACGAGCCACAACCCCTAATTTTAAGGGAGCATTCTAACACTTTTATAAATAAACAATTTCTTCTTTCTTTAAACAACACTTTCCCAAGAAAACGATGAGATGAATCAATATGATTCAAGTCCCTATTCTCTTCAGGAAACTGATCTCCGTGTCCTACTTTTCTTTTCTTCGATAAATATGTAAAATTTCTTCCCGAAATTCAAAAGTTTATCACCCGATCACCCAAATCCAGAATCGTGCTATAAAGTCTGGGGGAACGCAAGCGTACGTGCTGGTTTCCCTGCGCGTCGAATTAGTTTTAGATCGTACGTTCTGCCAAGCATGAGAGCTCAATTTCCCCGATGGTGATTAATCGCGTCCCGCGAACATTTCGAGGAACACGAACGCCTACGCGTAATTTAATCTACCCGCGACGAGGTCCCTTAAACTCGTAACGCGAAACGATTTCGAGTCCGACGTACCGAGTTTTCGCGCGCAACGACGCTGCCGTGGATTAGGATTAGGAAATTGAACCCTATCTAGGGTTCGGTAGCGTACGACTTCGGTTCCGTCGAATTCCCTTCGCTAGGGATCGATGGAGATGCCAGGAATACGATTTCGTAGTACAGCATGCACGGAATGTTCCTGTTTGTTCGTGTTTTTAATGCGGTACGTACGCTGCGCCTCTATTAATCTAATTCAGTTGAGTAGAATTGTGATGATAATTGTGTTACAAAGCTATCTAAAAATAAACACAAAAATTAGGAAACCTTTTGAATTATACGTTCAAAAAAAAATTTAGGAAAATTCTGCGCACCCTGTAGACGACTTTAGAGAATCCCAGTGTTTTCAACCCTTTCGCGACGGAGGGCCTAATCTAGATCTAACCCAGGCTGCCTGGAAAATTTCTCAACTATCCCTTGACAGACAGAAGGATAATTAGATTTCGCGCGCTAGGAATTTTTCCTTCTCATCTACTTTTTTAAGTAACTCCTGTAACACTCTCAGTTCTCATTCAAGCAAATTCGAATCGATTGCACTTAATACTTCTGGCAGAAAATGTGTAACCTTCAATTAAGGGTGTCTAGAGTACTCTTTTCCTAGAAGCCAGAGAAACTTTGCCTGTCAGCCGTTTAGTGCCCACATCCCCGTGCAATGATGACGCAGCTGCTAACGGTGTCGTCGCGAAAGGGTTAAGAACCACGAATGGGAAAGTTTCCACATTCGCTGGAACGACCACCGCTAAACGTCATGTCCTTTCTCGCAGCCTGAGACGTTCTCACCTCGTCGCGAGGTGGAATGAAAAGCCCTGCGTCGCGGTGCTTCGAACGTCCGGAAGTAAATGTACGTAGACATATCGATTAGGTTTCTTGGGATTCTTGGAAGAAAGGGATCGAGAAGTTCCGTGAAATGTCACGAAAAGAGGGTCACAGACGTAGCGATTTTTTATAGTTCTACGAAACGGTTCGCACATGGGTGGTACGATAGGTAAACGTGGAGTGTAGAGAGTTCTACAACCTGTTGAACGATGCGCCCGTCGCGAATAGCATTATTTTCGAGCACACTTCTTACATTTAATTAACTAGTCCGTAATTGGTATCTGGTCTGTAACTAATCATCCACGCCAACGTCTTCCTCGACCACGTTTCCCCGTCACAGGATATTCTCAGCAAAGGCTGGAGTTACGTTAGGAATAAAGTGCGCGAATTTCCCTAAGGACTTTCTTTCCAACTTCATGAATCGTTACGTCTGTGACCCCTGAAAGTAACGAAGAACTCGTTGCCCGGTCGAACCGCGCGTTTCGCGGCGACGCGACGTCCAACGACGTCGTCGAAACTTTCCTGTTCGAGTTAATGCTACGCTACACACGTAAAACGTTCATCTATAGGTACGTACATAGCAGTGATCGTGCGTTGAGCTATGTACACGGCACGAATACGGAGACACGCTTACATTTGAACAGACAGACGGACAGACAGTCGACTCAGAGCATACCCACATGAACGAAGAGGCTCGATCGCGACGACGATGACGTCCCGGTTCACGATCAACAGACCGTCACGAACGACAGGGTGGTCGTCTTCGGCGAGGCATAAGCGTGGATCGACTGCGAGTATCTCGATTGTCAAATGCGCAGCGGATCCGTGTGCGGGTTGGACGGCTTGTGTCGCGGGGTGCAGAAGCTCAGCCCGAAGCACAGCATCAGCAACGCCACGGAGCTGACCAGCAGGTGGCTCGACCAGGACACGGAACACTTTCCTGGAACAATCAACGCGTCCATGTCAACATCTGCGGGCACATCGGTCGCTTCACGCTGATGGATTTTCGTCCGGGGTAGTAGTAGAATACTATCAGTCGCTGAGGGCAATTCTACTTGTCCGTATCTAGAGGCAGGCTTTACCCTTGACGATATTTTTTCTTTGTTGAGGGAAATTTGTGGCGAACTGAGACGACTGGGAACGATATACTTAAACTGTAGGGAAGGCACTACCTTTTGATTTTCTATCGCAGTGTTAGAAACTGGTCAAATTCGTCAAATACTCGACGAATGGTCGATTTATCATTTAATAAACGCATTCAAGGAACTACCTCGTTTTGGTCATGCGATTAATCGCTCCTACTCCCAGAAAATTTCCTTTTTCAAGCAGACTATCCGACGATACCGATGCCTAAACAAACAAATATATCTATCCACCCAAAATAAAATTAGCTAGGGTGCGACTAAACATCCCGAAAAAGAGTGCCTTCGATTTACCGAGAATTGAGAGGAAGTCGACGACGCTTCCGATAAAATCTTACAAAATCTTACAACGACCGCGTGAAAAGTGTTACGAGGGTTGTTCTATTCGTCCTCCAACGAGCGTACCTTTCGTTAGCATAAATCCACGCGGCAAACGAGACCACGGGTGGCAGAACGACTCGAACGCGGTCGACGAACCGGCTCGTCTGAATCGCGGTGAAATCAAGAATTACTGGTCGCAGACGCGTAGTTTCGCCAAGTTACAGCCGCCATAAGTCTCGACAGGTTACGCAAGGTCTTGAAATGGGCGCGGGTCGGGCGGGTGCTCGACGAAATGTCCCCAACGCGGCGTCGCAGGCTTCCACCGAAATGTGGAAACTTCCAAGAACGACGTTACATTTGTGAGAGTAATCTAGACTTTTTCTATGCATCGTCAGGACGAGAATCTCGCTTAACGACACCATCGCCGCCCATAACGTTCAACCAGAGACGAGGGAGTAACTCGAGCGGGCATTGGATCGCGGGCAAAAACGCGGCTCGTATGGAATCAACGTTTATTCAACGATGTTCGCCGTTTGAGGAAGACCGGACGGTGAAACGAGTCTGAAACGAGGTCTTCTTTGAGAATTAATTCCGAGGTAACGTAACGCGGGCGCCGACTCTTCCTTGCGCGACGTGTTTACGCGCGTTATGGAGACTAACAGGTATTTTTTACACGCACGTGTATGCGTTAGGAACGGCACTGTGCAGAGTTCATTGCGGGTGGTTGCTTTCGAGACGTTGACTTTGCAGTGATCTCAGTTTAAGGGCTTGAGTACAAATAAAATAGAAAAGCGAAAGTGTCGATAAATTAAAGTCTACACCCTCTGTTCCATAACTAGCCGGAATGGCTGCAAAAATAACAGAACTAATTAGAAAATCTTGACGTAACTATCTTGTTTATTCAAAATATTCTTCCTTAGCCGAAACATAACGATTTGCACGTTTAAAAAGTGCATCAAATGACTTTCTTATGTCCGTGATTGGAATGATGTTGACACTGTCACTTAAATGTGTGTATCTTGGCTTCTAGTGAACGAAATGTCATGAAACTTTCAGAGGTTAATAAAAATTGACAATAAATCATAAAACAAGTAGATGGCGTCCCTGATCCCTTAATCCAACATAATTCAAGAATCCTTGAATTACTTCTCCAACAAGCCTTATCCATTTCCTCAAATTGAATATCGTAGACAGTCAACGATACTGGATCTGAGAAGTCTACGAATGGGCGCCTTTGGGATAAGTGTTAACGATAACGAACAGAAGGGTTAATTTCAATTTGGACGAACGGAAAATTGTCGATCGATGCGTGGCAAGAATTCTCCAAGTAATACGAAGGATCGGGAGCCCTGATGGCTGGTGCGGATCGTTAAATCCACGCTCAGAGCGTTACTCACCGAGATTGTATACGTTAGCACCCTTCCCGCAAGACTGCCGCACCTCCCGGTTGTCCCACCCTACGGGATACATCACCAGGCCGCCGGATATCATCACTGCTGTAACGAGAAAACGGCACCACGGTTACATCGTCGTGGGTTAAATCTCGCCTCGTTCTATCGGCAGTCGGGTTAATCCATCGGCAGATCGTTGGAATGCCGTGCATTCCTCGCGTCTCCGATACCCCCACGGAATCAACCCCTTAATCTCAGCCTCGTTCGGGTTCACGCGAACCTGGCCAATCGACTTTGGAATCCGTGGTCAACCGCGTGATTTTCCTCGAGCTTTCCCCCTCTCGATCACTGCGTTCCCGGGGGTGTCTATATTCGATTCGACGAGAAATTTCTTTGATAGATACGTCGTTGTTTAAAGGAACTTTCTCCAGAGCGACAGAGCTTGGAACGTTGAGGATAAGAATGTGTAATTTTGTATGCTTCCAATTTGGAATTCGGAAGATATCCAAAAACAAAGTTTCTAGGGTTAAAGAAGGCTACACTTAACCCTTTGCAATCGAGAGGTGACTCTCAGTCACCACTAGGTTTCCTTTCTTTGGAACTCGAAGTGCTCGAATGTCAAATTAGAGATCTTATTTTCGAAGTCAATCTAAGCTTAGCATTCGTGACAATAGACTGCATCTCGAATTGCTGATAGATACCAGAAAAAAAAGGCATCGAGTGCAAAGGGTTAATTTTCAAGAGTGTAACAAACAAACTCTGTGGGTGTAAATAAAGTGTTCCAGTCATGATAAGGTAGGAGCATTTTTCAATTGATGAACGTAAAAGGGGCGATACAAATTGTTTGTTCGAAAGACAGAGCGCAAGCGAGAAATACGAAGCATCGTTTTCCCAATAACGCGACGACAATTGCTTCCGCGGCGGAAGAGTTACGATTGAATAAAAATGACTGAGACCGCGGGAATCGATTTGCAACCGAATGAACACGATTGCCCGACGGAGATGTTCCTTTTGCCGCTGATTGGACCGCCAAGCAGTCCGTGCACGACCAACAGTGGCCGGAAAACCGATTGCCAGGCGTTACTGGACTACGTTCACCAGGTTGTTTCTACCAGAGCTGTAAAGTACTAATTACTTTTGTATCGACTACAATTTGAAATAAATACTTTTGAATTAGAAAATAGAATAAGAATATTTATTCTTATTCTTAATTAGTGAGTAATTCGATTACTTTTTAATAGTTACTTGTAACTACCCAGAAAGTAATTAAAAGGTATTCCAAATCCAAAGTAATTGAAAATACCTAAAAGTAGTTATAATTATTACCTTTTAATTAATTTTAGGTTTTTTGAACTACTTTCTGAGCAGTTGTAAGTAGTTATTAAAAAGTAATTGGATTACTGGTAGTAGTTAAGTAATTGCAAATGCCATTATATATGCGACAGAGGCTAATGAAATCTCCTAATAATAGAACATTCGCGTAGTAGAGTGTTTTTGGGATGACAGAGTTCCGAGTAACGAAGCCCCACCGTAGTAGAATAATATCATTTATCGCGTGTATTTTCAAAGTTCCTATGATATTACGGTATGTGGTCGACTTTCGGGTTCGGAAGTGCAACAGTTGATTCATTGCCCAGTGAAATCTAATTTCGAGGAGTCTGATGCGCGTTCGCAACCAGGAAGGTAATATATTTCGGCGCGTTACAAATTTACGTCATAATGTGATAATTACACAAACACACCGGCCAAAAGTTTTGCTCGTTTTCAATTTCGTCCTGCGTTAGTCCCGAATTCGATTCTTGGAGTGATCGAAACAGTTCTGACAGTGTCTCGAATTGACCCGAAGGTAAAAGAACGCATTTCGAAATGTTGTAATCATGGTTTCGTGTAAAAGATAAACACGAACTTCTACTATAAATTCGGACGTATCTCACGGTCGAAGATTACGATTTCATCCGCGTTGCAATTTCCCGTCAAAAATAATTAATGATCTCTTAAGCACAGATCGATACCTGTTGCTTAGTGTTTCAACGTATACGTTACTTCGCGTTACAAAGTAATTTCAGAGTTACACGAGGTTTTGACGGATTAACATGTAACAGCGCGGGGTCAACGACGTGTCGGTGAGAAGCCAATTTAAAAGCGCCAACTCCGGGGAAAACGGGCGACGAACGAGAAAATGGAACGTGTCAACGCTTGAAAGAAGAATGATATTCGAGTAATATCCTTTTCTTTGTGGACCGTTCGTTGTGTAGCTCTCCTTGGGAAGCGCGTCTCTCCATTACTTTGCAAACACTAAACGTTCGTTCCTGTTACCGTTTCGTATCTCTCCGTCTAGACGTTGCTGTGTCCCTTCCTCCCCCCCCCCTCAATCACTCTATCTCTCTTTCTCTCCTTTTGTCGATCCACGTTGAATCGCTTTCCATGAAACTTTGCAAACGGTAAAATGTTATCCCGTCTTCGGAAACGATACTGCCACGAAAAGATAATACCGCGGGATTAAACTGTGCTCGGGGAATAGGGAAAGCCGGCAAGACGCTTAAAATTCGCTGTAGTCCGTACCCCGCGGTTTCGCTGAAAAATTTATTTTAAATCGTCCCCGGAATTTAAGACCCGCCATCCGCGACGACAGATGCCTTCCAACGGATGTAACGAGCCACCGTGGATATCAAGTTACTACTTTTACTGGGGCGCAAATTTTCAAATGTACAGGGGGAAAAAAGTTTCACAGTTGCGTGGAAATTAAAAGTAGTGGAATTTCACTGTAGCCATAGAATTAACCCTTTGCACTCGAAAGGTGACTCTGTGTCACCATTAGGTTTCGCGCAGCAAATCTCCGTAAGTAGAATTGGCGAGAAATGGTCAGACATGAACGAGTTGTATATTAACCCTTTGCACTCGCGAGGTGACTCTTAGTCACCACTAGGTTTCCTTTAGGTTTAATTTCTTTCGAGCTCGAAGTGTCGATAAAATGATTGTCGGCGAGGTAAAGGTGACCTTATTCTCCAATCTAGATAGCTTAGAATTCATGGCAATAGAATGCTAAGAAACATCTCGAGTTGCTTGGTAGATACCAGAAAAAAAGACCTCGAGCGCAAAGGGTTAAATTCGATTGAAATTTTGAAGATTCGACTGTTCGATCGAATAAACTTGTTGCGAGATCATCTATGGCGATCGATATCATTTCGTATCCTTTATTATTCCATATCGAATGCCCCTTGTTTCCAATCATCCCAGTATACAACACGTCACGAAGTTCTTTTCTGACGATTTAAATATTCTACATCAAAAAGAAAAAAAAAAATTACCAACATTAACCTACGTTTCTTCCTTCGCCATAAAAGATAGACGGTAGATCGATTGTGAAGCTCTCCTCCAAGCGCGATGCTCGTTGCAGGCTCATCGGTCTCTGAATTTATTATTCATCGCTTTCCACGAGAAATCCGTCTAACCCGTTGAGTCTCTCCGACAGCCTACACGTAAAATATCCTTCGAACCTATCGCCAAGTCCTGCGAAACTTATTACGAAGTCTATTATGTACCGGGTACCCGATGTCGAACTTATTACGGAACTTGGCGTGTAACCCGTTAAGAAAGCCCGTTCCAGAGTCCATCGTGATGAGCTCGTGTAAACTTTATCGCGAGTGTAGCGCAATCGTTACGCTCTGGAGCTTATTACGCGCCGCATTAATTATAGGTCGAGTTCGCCGGTGAATCTTAAGACGACTTTGCGTTCCCCGAGAGGTTCTTGGCCCCGATTTTTCGCCCGGCAGCAACAAGGCTGAAACTTCCGACGCTTTCCTAATTCCTTGGGGAATGTCTTCCTTTGCGAACGTCGCGAGTATTGGTGGGAGAATTCAAATAGAGGAATCTCCGTAGAAACTGATACGGTATCTTATAGAATAAGGGAATACAGTAAAGAGTGGATAAATGCAAGAAAATCGGTACCCAAACATTGCATTTATCCAGTCGGGAGGTTTCTATTCTGTGTTTACATTTGGCTCGAGTCGAACGTAGGAAAGAACAGGGAGTGAAAGAAAAGGAAGGAAGTGTAAGACCGCAAAGCGGTCAGTATTGGTCAGACATGCGACTCGGTCTTCGGGAGGTCTGTGATTTTCAAGAAGATGGACTTTGCACTCGAGGCCTTTTTTTCTGGTATCTACCAAGCAACTCGAGATGTTTCATAACATTCTATTGCTATGAGTTCTAAGCTATCGAGATTTTAGAACAAGGTCACCTTTACCTCAACAACAATCATTATATTGATACGTCGAGCTCCAAAGAACTTAAACCTAAAGAAACATTAGGTATTGTAGATTTGCTGTGTGAAACCTAATGGTGACTGAGAGTCGCCTCTCGAATGCAAAGGGTTAATAGACCCAGGACTATTAAAATGAGCTTTTGCAAGCCGACAGAACTTGAAATCTTAAAGATAATGATATATAATCTTGGGTGGTTTCGCGTAATAATTTAAACAATATTTGAGATTCAAATATCAGAAGGTAAGAGGCGTTTCGAGAACCTTAACCCACGCGTAATCCACACAGGCTAACTTTAAAGTAAATCTTCTAAATATAATCTTCTTATAAATCCATACAGAGTACGATTTACTCGACCAGCGATAGATGAAAGCTCTAATAACGTAAAGATCGAAGGACACTTACCAGCCAGCAGTTGCAAGGCACCCAGAATTCTCGTGTACTTGGGTGTCTTCAGTATGTGAGGCAGAAAGCTCAAGGCAGCGGCCAGAAGAGTCAGCGCGCCGATCACCGCGATCGCGATACCGATTCCCATCGTCACGGTGCTCGCCTGCCACCAGGCACTCGGTATGTCCCAGAAACTGAAATCAAATATCGCATCCATTGAATAAAGGGGTTGTTTAACGCTCATTGTTCGGAAGGAAATCCAATTTCAAATTAAATTCGTGCGCGATAATCGTCGATCGATCGTTGTTGTTGGGTATAGAGCATCAAAATTCTGTATCACGTCTACAATGCGTGAAATTTCCTAAAATCTATGGAATCCATGAACTATGTCAAATACACGAGCTGTATGAAACCTCATGAAATTCATAATAAAATATTAGGTAGACTGGAAAATAATGTCGTTTCTTTAACATTAAATTCAAACAAATATTTTAGAAATCTATTATTCTAATATTATATTATAAATTTTAATATTCTATTTATAATCGATTATATAATCGCCCTCGTTATCGACATCCTTTCGCCATCTGGTGTGCAAATTTTCAATGCCAGATCGATAAAAATCAATGAACTAATGAATGATAAACAATTATTTAAAATTCCAAAAACGACATTACTTTCCAGGCCACCTAATACATGAGATCTATGAATCCTCGAAATCTGTGAAATTCGTGACCTTCGTCAAATCTATGAAATGTACGGTGATCCATGAAATTTATAAATTTCTTTTCTTTAGAGTGTCTAACTGCACAAAATCCCTTTCGCGTGACGAACGACGAAAGAGCGACTCCAGTGTCCTCGATTTACTATTGTCCTTGAATTTACAGGAATGTTCATAGTGATTCGAACAACGACGAATGAATCTGTAAGACGAAGACCACCCCAACTGGCGATGTTCTTTGTTTTACATTTCATTAGATCCAGCTGAACGTGAGCGTTCCAGTTAAATGGAACGATCTGAAACGCGCACGGCTTTACCGATGAAATGTAAACACTAAACGAAAAAGCGCACCGTAATCGCGGAAACTGTGTACCAGCTTTAATCAACGAGCTTTGACCGAGAAGTTTCAGCGTGCGGAGAAACCAACGCGTTCCGATTACGGTTAACGAATTCCATCAGGAAGAATTCCGCTTTACCTTCGACGTCTTACTCAACAAAATAATTTTGTTAGCATCTTGGACTGCGATACGCGTGTCGATCGAGTATATATCAAATTAGAGAGCCATCCTGAACCTATAGTTACTTTAACGTTTCAGCTATTCGATAAATATAAGCTCTTTCGATATCAATATACTTCAATGAGAATAAGTAGCACGAATTGCCAAATAGAGTCATTTACTGTTTTAGTTAAATTATCAGAAAAGAAACTGCTTGCGAGACGACTTCCTTCCTTTTTCGATTTATTCCTAACGAAGCGCGAGAGGATTCACAATGAAAAAATTCGACCGTGCGAAAAGCCAGGCTTGAAATCACGATAGAGATCGGTTGCTCTCGAATTCGATTCTCTAGTGGAGCTTGTCAAGTATTTATGAGTGTTCGGAGTTCACGGTTCGAATTCGTTTCGTGATTCGCCGGCGTTAAAACAAATTACGATAGTTCGATACACACCCGTTGGAATAGTGTACCGTTTCCGGATCGCGGATCGCTTTCATGTCTTCCGTGAAACTGGTCTACGCCGGAAACGAGCAAAAGATAACTAGAGCAGCCTTTGAAGCTTTATTTGTCTAGTGAAAATTACTTTTTTACTTTTGAATACATTCTGATATTTATATTCCTTGATTGTCTGGGCAACTATTCGAGTATATACTTTAAATTCGTTAGAATTCATCACAGAAATTTTTTGAAGTTAACTGGTTTAAATACACAGAGTATTCTATTGATTGTCTGTTATTTGAATACAATTCTATCCTCGATCAAATTTCCCACGAGCCAGGACAACCTCGACTACTCGAAAAAATGTTCATATTCGGTTCCAAAGAGCTTCGGCGCCGTTTCGACTTTTTCCGGTATTCCCGGTTTCATTTTGCACGCACTTCCGTTGGTTGCTCTTTCTGCACTTTTTCGAATCTCCGACAACGTCGAAATTCCCGTCAAATTTTGTCTAAAAGCGTCAATGTACACTCAATTAAACCCCTCATGAACAGCGAAGTGTACGAAACGACGGAACAGATAAATACTACTCGAATAAATTTTGCCATCGGCTTGGACTAATTTGCATAAAAGCATCGGGTTCGAAACGCGTTCCCCGGCGAATGAGAGATCGTAATTCGAGCTGTCGAAATGAAAAACTATCGACAAACGGGAGTTCGCGAACTTCTTGTCTCCTGGATACGGCCTCGTTTAAGTTTTACTGGCCTCGTTTCGTCGGGAAGTGGCTCGTTATGAATGAAAATGCTGGTATAGAGGGTAGTTTCGAAGTGTCGGAGAATTTCTGCTCTACAGTTCAAAAGTAATAAAAAAACAAAATAAACGAAGCTCGGTAATCGTCGGCCGACAAACTTCGTGTTTCGAAAATATGATGCTCTTATCTTTACTTTCGGAAGGGGGAGCGTGTCTATAAACGAGCGTGTATTACGCGGGGTGCTCCGTAAACGGTCGCGGAAAGTTTATTTCACAGAGTCGCGGAACAAGTAACGCTCGGCGTATTCCCAAACTTTTCTAGAGCGTTTCTTGTCGAGGAGGATCTACGAGTGAAAATGCGGCAGATACAGTCGAACACGAAGAAAACTTGGTTTTTCGCGCGGTGGTGGCAAGCACGGTTAGAAAACGAGTCGGAAGGGGAGGGTTATTCTTCTCCTTCTACTTTTATTGTTAAATAGGGAAGACGTGCAATTCTCATTTGTTCTCATTTCGTGGCTCGTACGTACCTGGAGTACCTGGCGCACTCGTAAACTATTTCTGGTGCAGCGTTCGGCGCCTTTATTCGTGGATAGTTGCAGCGCCGAAAGGAACTAAAGTACGCGTCCGCTTTTCCCAGCAGTCGTCCCTGAAATGCAAAACACATACGGCCACGTGAAACGAGCACGAAACGTAGCACAGAGCCGCGAAGGGGGTTAAGGTGGGAATAAAAGCTAGTGCGCGCATGCACACCAGAAAAAGAGAGAGAGAGAGAGAGAGAGAGAGAGAGAGAGAGAGAGAGAGAGAAAGTTTTGCCGTTTGAGAACCGATTTTCACGAGGACCCAGAGCGAAGGTTAAACATCGTCCTGGAGTGCGCTAATTTCGTCAGTGAAACGATTTCATCGCGTCTACGGTTTCGCGTCCCGATTGCCGCGGCAACGAGTCAACTTTTCGACGGCCAATTAAACGCAAAGTCGATCGAAAGCAGAGACAAACCACTCGCTTCAATTTCGCGAAAATCGCGCGCCCGCGGAGTGGCTCCCCATCGCTGCGTACATTTTCGAGAGGATTTTACTCGAAGCTAATGGCGCTCAGGCCCGGAGGACTGCAAAGCAGCGGGGAGAGAGATGGTTAGCTCTTGTAACGCCGCGATTCTCGACGGTTTTGTATTAGAACCCGATTCACGAGGAAAACCGTTGATCCCGTGCCAACTAGTTTCTTCCACCAGAGATTAAGTTTCCCCGCCGCGGTGTTGCCCGCCCGTTTCTTCGACGCCTTTCTTACCCCGCGAACTCGTACCACTTTGCCTCGCAGTGGAATAAACGATTCAAAGTCGGACAGGATATCCGGGTAGATTACTCTTTCAGCGGACAGCGAGAGCGTCCGCAGTCTCGACCAGCGACGAAAACCAGCGATTTTAATAAGAATAATGATCGCGCTAATGACACGAGATACGGGCATAGACTTCTATGCTTTCCCAATTCAAAATGAAATCTAACTGTTCTCGCTTTCAACTGGCATTAGAACTCTTCGCTGGCATTAAAATTATCGTGGGTAGTGCGTAGTTGTCGATATTGTATCTTTGAAATTAGAGCCAGGGGCCAATCAATTTATCGACGTAGTTTTCTGCCACAATAATTAAGTAATTTTAAATTGTTAGTTTTAGCATTACTTGTCGACCTAAACAGTTAGGAAGAGTCGGCGATTAAATGATAAATACGAGCCCGAAACCAAGGATTTGAGATTAAGATCTCACTCACATTGTACAAGAGTTTATAAGAAATTCCATAGTGTGTAACGTAGGTCTCACCTTTGCCACGATTTAGACAGGACTGTGATCAGGCCAATGGTTGACACAATAACCAAGCAAATTCTCACGAAATTGTTTTCTCGGGCACGATTCGCCAAGAAAAGGAAAACAAACTCCCCTTAAGCGTCCCCGTGGCAAGATTTCTTCTCAAACAAACCGAATCCGTTCCGAGCGTGTTTCTTGAGAGGAGGGGGGAGTGTGCACGCGTAGCATTCCTGGGCGATAGCGAAATGGAAGCAAATGTAAATTCACTTATGCATTTATTCATCCCGGTACTCGAGTATTTTCAAAGCCATTCAGAGCCTCCTCGTGCATTCTGGTACTCGAGGAGGATATACGTTTCGAAGGGACACTCCTGCTCGAACCTTGACGTCGAAATTATTCATCGACTGTTTCGTGCCCGTTTACCGTGATCCTTTTAATGGCCGTTCTCCCCCAAAGAACCCGGTAATTTAATCTTTTCATTTGCCTCTCCGAGGTACACGATTTGAAAGACAAAATAAAACTCGAGATGCATCGAATACAATCCCATTACTTATTCAACTTCGAAATTAGCGTAAAACATCGAATAACAGGTTTCTTTAGCACGGAACGATTTATTTACTCGCGCTATATTTTTCGTTGTAAGGGGATTTAAAGACTTGTAATCTAAATAGAAATCTAAATAAAAATTCTTGTTGAACGATAAACTGTAGTAAACAGGTCATTATTAGGTTAGTGTTTTTTTATGAAAAAATTATTGAATAAAGCTGTGATTTTTATGCGTCCAACATGGCTTCCTCTCTTAAGACCAACATCTCCTTTTGTACCAGAATGTTCTGTTTATCGTATCACGAGGCTCAATTTGCAACAACGAAATACCTTGTTCCCGATGAGCGTCGATTTTATCCAGCTTGCCGTAACAATTTTTCAATTTCGCTCATCGCGTTACGTTATTGATAAAACTGAGCCTCTGATCGTATATTTAACGAACGCGGCGAGTTCTCGCAATTACACTGGTCAGCAGAAATCAATTTTTATCTGATACTTCGTATTTTGCGTAACCTGCAGCGATAGCATTTATCGATCATTACCGTTAATTGAATATCAAGCGTTTGTTAACAAATATCTAACCGACCCATGTTTACTCCGAGTAAATATAATAACAAACTGGAATACTTTATTTGCGATAATTTCTCCTTTTACGTGTCTCGTAAGTCGTCTTTTAGGTGTCTCTCAGGTTAGACTTTTATTACAATAGCCTTCCGAGGACAATGGGGAGTCTGAAGGCAACCTCAGCCTCGTTATTTCGTTAACGACTGATTGACGTAATTGAATTAATACGTGCTAGTGTGGGTAATACGCTCTCTTTTAATCTCTTTAATCCTACGCTGTGGTGAATACTTCCGGCTTATATCGACTTGGTTAAAATTGAATAACCTAGACCCAGGGTTGATCCAACATTGTGTATCGTATGCATGAGAAGAATATAATTGTTAGTTTTACTTAGGTACCTATGCGAATAAATGTAAAATTACATCATTCTTAAAATGATTGACTTATTTAATTCTTTAGATCAGTGATTCCCAAACTGGGAGTCGCGTTATATTGTAAATACGTAAAATGTAAATGTAATATGTAAAAATCTAAGAGAGAGAAAAATAAATATTGGTAAAGTTTAATAATAAAGAAATTAAGTCTTACGAAATAGTAACACTTGTATTTAGTTAGTATATGCCACAAAATGTGGCCTGTCTAACATATTTCAGATTAGTCTCACATTGATTGGTATTAAAGGAGCCGCCGAAAATAATCTGTATACTAAGGGAGCCGCGGATCTAAACAGTTTGGTAACCTCTGCTTTAGATTTTTCTGTTTTCCAGTTCTTTTTTCCAATCTAATTAGAGAGTAGAAAAATTCTCGCCGAACTGAACAAGTCCTAGAATATTCTCTAACGTTGTCGGGTTTCCTTTACGCTCGAAGCAGCCAACACCTGTTGACGTTAACAAATAATTTCCTGCCCCAGTGTTTCAAAATGAAGATTAATTCGATTAACGGGGCAAAGTTGAAAACGGCGATAAAAATGCTCGGCGGTAATTTTAACCGATCTTGAAACAACATTACCCCGCTAATTTCTCCGCAGCTAGCTGCTCTCCCCTCAACGATCTTTCATTCCCCGCTTTCTGGGAAAGTTGGCGGCGTTCCCCGACTCGATGGATGCCTAACGCGTCGAGGCAACTCCTCGCGGAATACCTCGCTCGCGGGATAAACCAGCCAGCGTCGAAATAACTGTAGTCGAGGAATTCGTAGCTGGGACGGACGGAAGGATCTCCCTAGCTCGTGGAAACGTCGACATGATGGAATTTTTCAACCAAGTTTTGCAACTACGGGCGCCGAAGCTCGACGAGAATTTCCCTGACTGCTCTCAACAAACGGCTCTTCGGTCCAATTCACGAAACAAGGATCGTTTCTACGGTTGAGCGGGTTAAGCGAGGCGCCCTCTTCCCCTCCCTCCGCCGTTCCCATCGGGATATGATCCGGGATCGTTGGATCCCCGAGATGGCGTCGGGACTCGACGCGGAGAAGTTCGTTTACAATTTAATTCCAGTCCTGGGAGAAGAAGCGCTGGCATTGGCCAGGTAACGTCGAGCAGTTTCCACGAGTTTCAAAGTTGCCGTCCTAACGACGACTGCCGGCTCGAACCACTTTTGTCTCACGGTGCCCCGAGCGTTTCCCTACCCGTTCGCGAGCTTTCCGCCGTCGTCCGTAACGAACCGTGCCTCGCGATCCGCCACCCCCGTAATTTGCATCCCTCCACGTCCACGAGCCCCCCTCCCCCTCCCCCCTCACCCTCCCCTCTGCCCCTCCTTCCACGTCGTCGCCGCACTTGTTGACTGCTCCGCAATCGACGTCACGCGACCAAGAATCCCCTCCCTCGTGTTAAGAGGAGGGATGATCACGAAGGAAGGATAGAAATTGGGTCTCGTTCGAAAGTTTTTGATAGCTGGGTCTTCGACTAGATTGAATTTTTGTTAGGGGCATTTTTAAGCGTGGAACTTTCGGAATAACTCGTGGGAATTGCTTTGAAAGATTACTTGGAGAGGAGATGAATGGAAGTTGATTCGTCGAAGTGGATGAGTACGAGTGGCATCGAGTCGATCAGTCTTGAAAGCACCATGACAAATATAAGGGATGGTCTACTTTGAAGGAACACTCTCCTTTTTCTTTTCGAATAGAAATTGCCGAGAACGTTTCAGATATCTCTCTCCCCTGGGTCGATAAATTTGTTAACGTAACTTCCAAGAATCGTTAGCGAGATCTTTCTCATCGCGAACATTGCCAGTAGGAAAATCGTGTGCCGCGTTAATGCGTGCAGTTTCCTAAACGCGAAACGCGCACAATTCATGGCGGAACGCTCTCCGCATGGAGCCCTATTCGTCATTAAACTTTTATCGAAGCATCGAACTGCCGTTGCACTTGTTGATTTCGTATATTGTTTACGTAAACGGGTGCGCGCACAGCGGCGACAACCGGCCGAAAACGCGGTTCGTCGCTCGAAACAATGTACACAGTTTCATGCGAAATTTGTATGTTAATGCGCGGTTGGCACGCGTCGCACGATCTCTCCAGCTTTTGGCTTTCGAACGGTCCGATATACACGAATAATTTAACCGTGTGAGTCTGTGTTATTTTTCCATCTGGAGACTATGCTCAGTCGAGGGTTTCATTCGAGGCACTGTCTTTATTTTTAAATCGTTAATGAGGAGAGCGACTCGAGGAAAGCGACAGTTCGATGTGCTAAAGGATGTAGGATAAACGTCTCGGTTATTTCCAAGAGCATTTCCTTTATAATTATCTGGATAGTTATTTCGTGTAACGAGACAATGCGATTGTACGTGAAAAATAAAGTAACCTCTATGATACTAACAAGAAAAGCTTCGTAGGTGTCCGTCTCCGATTGTTAAATTATTGAACATATAATATTAAATATATGAAACAAATTATTTTTTACAAAATTTAGGGCCAGATTTGATATGCAGACAGAAAACCACGAAACTTTTTCTCAAAAAGTTTTCTTCTACTTACGATACTTTCGGAGATAGTCGTTTCACCCCTTAAATATGAAATCGGGCCAATATAAAAAAAAATACGTGTATCTTATATTTCGGTTCTTTAAAACATATCCAAAAATCAAAACAATCGGAGCCGGAAACCTAAAAAGCTTTCCTTGTAAGATAGATATTCTCTTTTCTTCCCATTATTAAATTTGCAGATTCTGAGAACGATCAGAATCGAAGAGCCGAGACGTCAATAAACTCTATCAACCCTTCTCAAATCTGCACCTTTTAATCAAGTATTTTAAATAAAAGAATAAAAGCAAATAAAGAACAGGGTTGTTCTGCAACATAAACAATATGAAATGCTTTCGGAAGAACCTCCTCCCCCTCTGACACTTCTACTTCCATGATATTATCCCCCAAA